TCAAGGCTTATGAGACTCTATATCAAGGCTTATGAGACTCTATATCAAGGCTTATGAGACTCTATATCAAGGCTTATGAGACTCTATATCAAGGCTTATGAGACTCTATATCAAGGCTTATGAGACTCTATATCAAGGCTTATGAGACTCTATATCAAGGCTTATGAGACTCTATATCAAGGCTTATGAGACTCTATATCAAGGCTTATGAGACTCATAGTTTGTGGGTTGTGTTATGATCTTTGGTACGACTCTCACAGCTCTTAAGAGTTGTATTATGAGTTCATCATCAGGTATTTTCTCAAGAGATGCCCAATAGAACCAACTGCCAGACTTCGGACCTGCCGAAAACCAAGTCACTTCTCGGTCTGATCAACAGAACCGAATTACAAGACTATCAACCTTTCAAATAGTACCAATTACAAGCCTACCAACCTCTCGAATAGTACCAATTACAAGCCTACCAACCTCTCGAATAGAACCGATTACAAGCCTATCAACCTCTCGAATAGTACCAATTACAAGCCTACCAACCTTTCAAATAGTACCAATTACAAGCCTACCAACCTTTCGAATAGAACCGATTACAAGCCTACCAACCTCTCGAATAGTACCAATTACAAGCCTACCAACCTTTCGAATAGTACCAATTACAAGCCTACCAACCTCTCGAATAGTACCAATTACAAGCCTACCAACCTCTCGAATAGTACCAATTACAAGCCTACCAACCTTTCAAATAGTACCAATTACAAGCCTACCAACCTTTCGAATAGAACCGATTACAAGCCTACCAACCTCTCGAATAGTACCAATTACAAGCCTACCAACCTTTCAAATAGTACCAATTACAAGCCTACCAACCTTTCGAATAGAACCGATTACAAGCCTATCAACCTCTCGAATAGTACCAATTACAGGCCTACCAACCTCTCGAATAGTACCAATTACATGCCTACCAACCTCTCGAATAGTACCAATTACAAGCCTACCAACCTCTCGAACAGAACCGATTACAAGCCTACCAACCTCTCGGAACAGAGCCAATTACAAGCTTACCAACCTCTCGAATAGTACCAATTACAAGCCTACCAACGTCTCGAACAGAACCAATTACAAGCCTACCAACCTCTCGAACAGAGCCAATTACAAGCCTACCAACCTCTCGAATAGTACCAATTACAAGCCTACCAACCTCTCGAACAGAGCCAATTACAAGCCTACCAACCTCTCGAACAGAGCCAATTACAAGCCTACCAACCTCTCGAACAGAGCCAATTACAAGCCTACCACCCTTCCCATAACAACCAGTCACTTGCTTCTCGGCCTGCCCAACATAACCAATCACAAACCCTCCACCATACCTAACATAACCAATTATAAGTCCAACCAACCAACCTAAATGTTGGTTGGTTGGACGGAGTATACGTACACCTTATATGGTGTATACTTGCATGCTTAGAGATTGAGTATACATCGATAAGTATTCCCAGCTTCTCGGTGTATATACACTAGGAGCTTACATTAGTCCTGGAAGCAGTTAAGGACAATTATACTCTCTGGCTGGTTAGTAAGTTTAACGACCTCTATAACTCCTCCCATGGATGATAAGCCTCGAGCTCAGCACCAAACCAAATCGAACAGCCCAACATAAAAACAACTTTAGAGAGATGCATTTCGAACATGGGAAGTGAGTGAAGCACTGTTCGATTGAATGTTCGAACGTTATCAGTTGTGTTGATAGAAATATTTGTCAACAGAACCAAAGCTCCCAGCTAACCTTCCCTAGGCCTACCTGTACATAAAATATTAATTTAAGATAATATTAACATCAAAAGCACAGCCACAGTTTGATCAGAACAAGAGGGAGGGCTGGCAAGAAAAGTCTTATCCTTAAAGTCATATATGCAAGTATTTAGGCTTTTATATATCTGTCTGCTGGTAATGTTAAGGTTACACGAGGTTCAATTGAGCACGAGGTTCAATTGAGCACGAGGTTCAATTGAGCACGAGGTTCAATTGAGCACGAGGTTCAATTGAGCACGAGGTTCAATTGAGCACGAGGTTCAGAGGTTCTACTGAGCTTAAGGTTCCACAGAGCATGAGGTTGAACTGAACGTGAGGTTCAGAAATTCCATTGAACAGGAGGTTCAGAGGCTCCACTGAATATGAGGTTCAGAGGTTTCACTGAACATGAGATTCCACGTTCAAAGGTAATAATGACCGAAGATATTCTACCCTTATACATAATCAGTTAAATTAGTTTTAAAGTTTTTCTGACATTAATATATTTCGGGACATATAATAAAGGAAGTTGATGATAAGAGTCCAGAGATAACGACTCTGTGATCCTATCTATCTGGGACCGTCTATGATACCATTGATGTAAACAGGATGTTGATAGCATCCTACAGAAAGAACATCCTCTTCCTGGTTGTTTCATCTGCCTCCTCCCCATACTACCAGCAGAGGATTCTTGACACACATATATATATATAATGTATATATATATATATATATATATATATATATATATATATATATATATATATATATATATGTCGTACCTAGTAGCCAGAACGCACTTCTCAGCCTACTATGCAAGGCCCGTTTTGCCTAATAAGCCAAGTTTTCCTGAACTAATATATTTTCTCTAATTTTTTTCTTATGAAATGATAAAGCTACCCATTTCATTATGTATGGGTCAATTTTTTTTATTGGAGTTAAAATTAACGTAGATATATGACCGAACCTAACCAACCCTACCTAACCTAACCTAACCTATATTTATAGGTTAGGTTAGGTAGCCGAAAAAGTTAGGTTAGGTTAGGTAGTCGAAAAACAATTAATTCATGAAAACTTGGCTTATTAGGCAAAATGGGCCTTGCATAATAGGCTGAGAAGTACGTTCTGGCTACTAGGTATGACATATATATATATATATATATATATATATATATATATATATATATATATATATATATATATATATCGTACCTAGTAGCCAGAACGCACTTATCAGCCTACTATGCAAGGCCCGATTTGCCTAATAAGCCAAGTTTTCCTGAATTAATACATTTTCTCTAATTTTTTTCTTATGAAATGATAAAGCTACCTATTTCATTATGTATGAGATCAATTTTTTTTTATTGCAGTTAAAATTAACGTAGATATATGCTCGAACCTAACCAACCAACCCTACCTAACCTAACCTATCTTTATAGGTTAGGTTAGGTTAGGTTAGGAGCGGAAAAAGTTAGGTTAGGTAGGTTAGGTAGTCGAAAAACAATTAATTCATGAAAACTTGGCTTATTAGGCAAATTGGGCCTTGCATAGTAGGCTGATAAGTGCGTTCTGGCTACTAGGTACGATATATATATATATATATATATATATATATATATATATATATATATATATATATATATATATATATATATATATATATATATATATATATATGCGGAAAATCCACAGAGAAATGGAAGAGGGAGATGAACGTTTCGGCCGATCTGGGCCTTTGTTAACACCCCAAACAAAGCATCCTCTGTTAACAAAGATAACAGAATCAAACTTCATCAATGATTCAACTTCATCAATGGTTCACATATCAATGGCTTGTAGCCAATAGACCTGCCTCTCTAAGAAAGAGTCGTGCAAGATGACCTCCTTCACGAGGCTCTACAGATGCTGGAGGATATATTCCTTAGCCAGGAGGTTAAGGGAGGCACCACTCCAACAACGAGGAGGCCTGGAATGGTCGAGGACCGGGCCGCGGAGACCCGAAGCCCCGAAACCATCTCGAGGTAGGTAAGGAAGGCACAACCAAGAGATCTGTTATATTAGTAACAATCTGAACACTAGATATAAAGATTATCAAGGGCAGTTTGCACACACACATTATATTACCAATATATAGACAAGAGAAATAAAAGACAGCAAATTGGCGAGATTATATTACCGGCAACAGTGTGTTTAGAGCCCAGACATTTGTGATTAGTATAATATTGAGTATAATATAATATAATATACTATGCTTCACAATGCTATCAAATACACTTTAGTTTAATAATTTGCTTGAATAATACACTTACACGTGTTTTGAGTCTTTCCTTCACTTTCATTCAAACGCTATACGGTATTTGTACCTTTCTCCAGTGAATACACTGACATACACATTGTAGAATACATTACTATGCACGATTTAATGCACATACTGTATCCTCTTTGAGGAAATACACATCACCGAGTGTAGGGTGTGTGTGTTCGGGTGTGTGTGTGTGTTCGGGTGTGTGTGTGTGTTCGGGTGTGTGTGTGTACTCACCTATATGTGCTTGCAGGATCGAGCATTGACTCTTGGATCCCGCCTGTGTGTGTGTGTGTGTGTGTGTGTGTGTGTGTGTGTGTGTGTGTGTGTGTGTGTGTGTGTGTGTGTGTGTGTGTGTGTGTGTGTGAGACTGCGTACTTACCAACCTGTTCTCTCAGCTAACACGTCGCAATTGTTACGCAGTCACAACCAATGCGTTAAAAATGCAAAGAGTTAGTCAAAATTACAGCACCTTAAAACTGACGTTTTCTATGCTTGGGTTTCGATAGGCTAGGTGGGTTGCTTAGGTTCGTACGCTTCTAGCTGGGCAAATTTGATTCAATTTGTTTATGAAGTGCTAATCGAGAGAATGAGCTTCGTTGCATACGGTGGGCGTCGTGTTTCATGGTGCTATGTTGTGAGTATTACAGCTCATTCAGCTTCATAATGAAACATAAAGCAGGGCTTCATGTATCTTCATTCTGCTCTTATTATGGTAAGTTCCAGCTAAACGTTCCTCCTCTGAATCGTCTAGACCCGGCCCCTGGTCTAGTGTCGTTGAACAGACCCAATAAATGGTTCAATGTTGTTGAACAGAGGCACTCTATGGCTCACAGTACAAGTGGTTCCATTTGGCCTGTGCCCGGTACCCAACCCCTTCCTCAATCCGTCTACTCACAGGTCGACCCCCTCACTCTCATAGGACCCTCCCCCTCCCCACGTCCTGTCACAGGACCCCTCCCTCTTCACCATCACAGGAACACCTCTCCCTCACTGTCTCACAAGACCCAAGTCACTTCCTATCACTTGGACGCAGGACAGGGCGTCTTGACTCCACCTTGAATTCCTTGGCCCCCAAGGACCAGCTCCACGGCGAAGGCAATACTGGCCATCACTATTCCTTGATTGGGAGTAAGAAAGGAAAAGTATATTTAGTTTTTAGAAATAATATTTCATGTTCAATTATTTCAATTCAGTCACACGAACAAAACGTAAATAATGTCAAGGTCAAGAACCTCTCTAGAGCAAAAATTGGACCATTAAACCTCTGAGTTCTCCTTGAATTTCGAAAAAAAATGAGTCCCAGACAGCACTCTCCAAACCCGAGGGGTTAATGGTAACGTTTATAGAAAAATACTATTCTTGTATACATTCTCAAAAACACTAGAACATGTTGACCACATTCTCAGTCTTAACTCTTTTGGGTACATGCTAGATACGGTACCCTGGGTACATGCTAGATACGGTACCCTGGGTACATGCTAGATACGGTACCCTGGGTACATGCTAGATACGGTACCCTGGGTACATGCTAGATACGGTACCCTGGGTACATGCTAGATACGGTACCCTGGGTACATGCTAGATACGGTACCCTGGGTACATGCTAGATACGGTACCCTGGGTACATGCTAGATACGGTACCCTGGGTACATGCTAGATACGGTACCCTGGGTACATGCTAGATACGGTACCCTGGGTACATGCTAGATACGGTACCCTGGGTACATGCTAGATACGGTACCCTGGGTACATGCTAGATACGGTACCCTGGGTACATGCTAGATACGGTACCCTGGGTACATGCTAGATACGGTACCCTGGGTACATGCTAGATACGGTACCCTGGGTACATGCTAGATACGGTACCCTGGGTACATGCTAGATACGGTACCCTGGGTACATGCTAGATACGGTACCCTGGGTACATGCTAGATACGGTACCCTGGGTACATGCTAGATACGGTACCCTGGGTACATGCTAGATACGGTACCCTGGGTACATGCTAGATACGGTACCCTGGGTACATGCTAGATACGGTACCCTGGGTACATGCTAGATACGGTACCCTGGGTACATGCTAGATACGGTACCCTGGGTACATGCTAGATACGGTACCCTGGGTACATGCTAGATACGGTACCCTGGGTACATGCTAGATACGGTACCCTGGGTACATGCTAGATACGGTACCCTGGGTACATGCTAGATACGGTACCCTGGGTACATGCTAGATACGGTACCCTGGGTACATGCTAGATACGGTACCCTGGGTACATGCTAGATACGGTACCCTGGGTACATGCTAGATACGGTACCCTGGGTACATGCTAGATACGCTACCCTGGGTACATGCTAGATACGCTACCCTGGGTACATGCTAGATACGGTACCCTGGGTACATGCTAGATACGGTACCCTGGGTACATGCTAGATACGGTACCCTGGGTACATGCTAGATACGGTACCCTGGGTACATGCTAGATACGGTACCCTGGGTACATGCTAGATACGCTACCCTGGGTACATGCTAGATACGGTACCCTGGGTACATGCTAGATACGGTACCCTGGGTACATGCTAGATACGGTACCCTGGGTACATGCTAGATACGGTACCCTGGGTACATGCTAGATACGGTACCCTGGGTACATGCTAGATACGGTACCCTGGGTACATGCTAGATACGCTACCCTGGGTACATGCTAGATACGGTACCCTGGGTACATGCTAGATACGGTACCCTGGGTACATGCTAGATACGGTACCCTGGGTACATGCTAGATACGGTACCCTGGGTACATGCTAGATACGGTACCCTGGGTACATGCTAGATACGGTACCCTGGGTACATGCTAGATACGCTACCCTGGGTACATGCTAGATACGGTACCCTGGGTACATGCTAGATACGGTACCCTGGGTACATGCTAGATACGGTACCCTGGGTACATGCTAGATACGGTACCCTGAGTACATGCTAGATACGGTACCCTGGGTACATGCTAGATACGGTACCCTGGGTACATGCTAGATACGGTACCCTGGGTACATGCTAGATACGGTACCCTGGGTACATGCTAGATACGGTACCCTGGGTACATGCTAGATACGGTACCCTGGGTACATGCTAGATACGGTACCCTGGGTACATGCTAGATACGGTACCCTGGGTACATGCTAGATACGGTACCCTGGGTACATGCTAGATACGGTACCCTGGGTACATGCTAGATACGGTACCCTGGGTACATGCTAGATACGGTACCCTGGGTACATGCTAGATACGGTACCCTGGGTACATGCTAGATACGGTACCCTGGGTACATGCTAGATACGGTACCCTGGGTACATGCTAGATACGGTACCCTGGGTACATGCTAGATACGGTACCCTGGGTACATGCTAGATACGGTACCCTGGGTACATGCTAGATACGGTACCCTGGGTACATGCTAGATACGGTACCCTAGGTACATGCTAGATACGCTACCCTGGGTACATGCTAGATACGGTACCCTGGGTACATGCTAGATACGGTACCCTGGGTACATGCTAGATACGGTACCCTGGGTACATGCTAGATACGGTACCCTAGGTACATGCTAGATACGCTACCCTGGGTACATGCTAGATACGGTACCCTGGGTACATGCTAGATACTGTACCCTGGGCACATGCTAGATACGGTACCCTGGGTACATGCTAGATACGGTACCCTGGGTACATGCTAGATACGGTACCCTGGGTACATGCTAGATACGCTACCCTGGGTACATGCTAGATACTGTACCCTAGGTACATGCTAGATACGGTACCCTGGGTACATGCTAGATACGGTACCCTGGGCACATGCTAGATACGGTACCCTGGGTACATGCTAGATACGGTACCCTGGGTACATGCTAGATACGGTACCCTGGGTACATGCTAGATACGGTACCCTAGGTACATGCTAGATACGGTACCCTGGGTACATGCTAGATACGGTACCCTGGGTACATGCTAGATACGGTACCCTGGGTACATGCTAGATACGGTACCCTGGGTACATGCTAGATACGGTACCCTGGGTACATGCTAGATACGCTACCCTGAGCTCTATGAAGAATTTTCAAAATGTTAGGGAACCTAACACCCCTCTCACAAAACCGTGTGGCAACATTCATCAACAACAACAACAACAACAGGCAACATTCCTAAAACCCAAGGGAGTCCAAGCAAAAAATCCTATTATGCTTTTTTATTTTTTTGCATAGCGACGTGAGAAAATGCATTTTTCCTCAGGAAAGACGGAGCTAATCTTGGCAAGTACGGAAGTGGTGACGTCTCTACCCATCGAGGAACTGTGAACTGAGAAAATATGGATGATCACAGACAGAACAGAGCCCTATAATTTAATTTTTATGTAGAACACTGAGGTAAAGTGCATGTTTACCTCAGAGATAACACGAAACCATAACGTCACCATAAGTGGAACACGAGACCATATCCTAACCTCAGTGAAACACGAGACCATATCCTAACCTCAGTGGAACACGAGACCATATCCTAACCTCAGTGGAACACGAGACCATATCCTAACCTCAGTGGAACACGAGACCATATCCTAACCTCAGTGGAACACGAGACCATATCCTAACCTCAGTGGAACACCTCACCTCCGGCGTAAATGGAGAAAAGGCCGTAGAAATCCCCAAGTTCGAGGGAGCGCAGAACGCCCGAAGAATCGCTGGAGATGGGCTTATAACAGTTAGAAGCATTTGGAGCAGATTGTTTGATCAGCCAATTCATAATGCCCGACTCCTTCAACGCACGTATGCTGAAAAATACACAGGCATGGGTCATAGGTACCTGGTACCTGGGTGTTAGTCAGCTGTCACGGGCTGCTTCCTGGGGGTGGAGGCCTGGTCGAGGACCGGGCCGCGGGGACACTAAAGAAAAAAGCTCCGAAATCTCAAGATATGTTAGTAGGATAAATAATTGAGTTTATTAGGGGTAAAGATATTCATGTCGCATTAATAGGATAAATATTAGAATTAGAATGATGTGAATAATTAGGCCGATGTTAGATCAGGTTTTGAGTTTAAGTTCCGTTAGCAGTGGTTTGTATTTGCAGTACGTGGGTAATGAAGGTGCAATTCGAACACAGGACGTGAGTGAAGCCCTGTTCGAGAAAATGTATCGTACGTCATGAGTTGAGAGTCCCATTTAATGTGTTTTTTGTTCATAAACGGCTGGATTAACAAGCATTTGGCCAATGTTTATGAAAACGGGATGCATTTGACCAATGTATATGAGGTCGGGTTGTATTTGACCCCATGTTTATGAGGATGGGCTGGTGCCAGACTCTGAATCATTGTAACGATTCGGAAATATATGGGAATCGAAGGGATCTTAAGTGGAATAGAAGGAAATGGGAAGAAAATGAGAGGAAATGACAGGAAAATGGGGCAGATGAAATGACTCCTGATAACTGAGGGTTATCTTGAGGTTATCTTGAGATGATTTCGGGGCTTTTTAGTGTCCCCGCGGCCCGGTCCTCGACCAGGCCTCCACCCCCAGGAAGCAGCCCGTGACAGCTGACTAACTCCCAGGTACCTATTTACTGCTAGGTAACAGGGGCATTTAGGGTGAAAGAAACTTTGCCCATTTGTTTCTGCCTCGTGCGGGAATCGAACCCGCGCCACAGAATTACGAGTCCTGCGCGCTATCCACCAGGCTACGAGGCCCCTCTTTCCCCAGGGTGGAAGGAAATGGGACAGAGGATCATACTACTAAGCCTTTAAGTAGGAAAAATTGGGGGAAGAGTTTAAAAGGGAGACGGACGGAGAAAAGAGAAAACGGAAAGAGAAACAAAGGGAAAACAAAGGGGAACTGCCACCACCTAGGTCTAAAGACTCCTGGGAAGTCTTTCAATATACAGTAGTTAAATGATTAACCCCATTTCCAAGAACATCTGTTTCAATCAATATCAATCGGGGTGAGAATAGCTTGAGCTACCTCATCCCTTTGTGTGTATTTTACCTCAATAAACTTATTTCAATTTCAATTTCAATACATTAATTGTAGTCCTTTAACTTCAAGAACCCCAAATCATGTGATAATTACTCCTTTGTATAACTACCGGAAGAAGTTGACGTATTTATTAAACATTACTCTACATTTATATTAATAAATAACAGGAAGCAACGAGCTTGAAACACCGTCAATAACTGAAGCCTACACCGTTGAAAATTGCATTCCTGACATTTCAAGACATTTCGAACAATAAGATACCAACACTCTTCCACAAATCACCAAATTCAAGAATAGCGAGTCCCCAAGGAAAAGTGTATAATCAACCTCACAGACCCTAGAATCAGAGTGTGCTAAATTATGACTCTTGAGTTTCCCCTCCAAGAGCTGCTACGCTATTTAACTGAAAATCAGGAGGCTATAGGCTCCGCCCACTGACGGCCTGGAACACGCACGCGCGCCATTTGACGCTTTATCGGATACTATCAAGCGAAAAGGCCTAGCTAGATATCACTCGCCACGAGGGCAATTATCTGATCTGACCTGACCTGACTTAGACTCGGCAATTGTTCAATCACCTGCTGCAATCTTGTAAGGTGTGGATAGTACATGCGACATCATGGCGCCTGTCTCAATACTCCACTAAAGCGCTGTAGTGTTAGGTATACAAGCCTAATGGAATAGCTATATAATAGTATATAGGTATACCATTACATATCGATTGGATTCCACATTAGCAGTGAAAAACAGTCAGATGACTGGTAGTTATACATTCGTTATACTGCAAGACTTGTATTAACAATTGTGTAACTCTTCTCCCTTTTTCTGTTCATTGTCTTCTCCTACGCTCCCTTGCTATCCTCTTCTTTTTCCTATTACTTCTCCTTCGGTGGTTATAATAGGAGCTGCCTCGTATGGGCCAATAGGCCTGCTGCAGTTTCCATTACTACTATCCCCTACACCTGACTTTCCTCCTCAGCTCTCTCTTGCCTATTTATTGCCTGTCCCTACCTCCCCATCACAATCGACTTGAGAATGGTCCAGGACGGACCGAAACGTCGTCGTCCCTTCAATTTCTAGTGTGTGGTCTGGTCAATTGTGTAACTAGCTCCACAAGATTGACACTTGCTTAGCCAAACGAACTATGGGGTTCAGTCCCATTTATGTGCCTATGTAACCCTTTCCACCACCCCCCACGGAATGGGTATGTGGTGCATAGTAAATGAAATGAAATGAAAAACAAAATTGTTGAATAGTGACGCTGAATAACATAGCAACACACTTGGTAACTTACACGACGTCAAACTTGGGTTTAAGTTGAGAACCTTTTGGAAAGGGGAATGCATAGGACAAACTCTCCGAAATTTTCTCTGACATCATGTACAGGCCACATGATCCGGTCTGAAACGTTAAATGCATAAATATTAATGGTTATCTATCTCAAATCCCGTTAACTCTTCCAGTATTTCTCTCAAATCTCTCTCTGTCTAGAATTTACGTCAAATCGTGTATCAATCATAATCTTTATATCGTCTCTTTCTTTCTCGAACCTCATTTCAGTCTACCTACAATAATATATATATATATATATATATATATATATATATATATATATATATATATATATATATATATCACTAAAATAAACACGTAATTAAAAATGTGACATTGTCAGACCACGGAGGAAAATTGAAACAGGAAATTCGTGTTTAAATTTTCCTCCGTGGTCTTACAATGTCATATTATATATAAATATATATATATATATATATATATATATATATATATATATATATATATATATATATATATATATATATATATATATATATATATATATATAATATATATATATATATATTCAGTTGCATATTGGCTTGGGGACCATTCAAGCTTGTTCGATAGATCATACTCCCAAGCTAGCGAGGTCTCAATGATACATCACGCTAATGGGATTTCACTGTGCAATAGAATGATTTCTAATTCTTTCACTCAACAGGTATCTCGACTCTTTATACGACAGTACCTTGGAGAAATGAAGATGTTCTATGGTAAGAGCAAACAGGCCGTTGCTAACTCCAGCGTAGACTCCATCCAGTACATCACTAACAGCTCGAGAGACGTTATTGTGGTAGACCATTTGACGGTTTAGACGGCCCAGAGGCGAGTTCTTCGGAGCCATCTGCGCGCAAATAGCTTATTTAAATGGTTGAGAGGAAGGTAGGATGGATTAAGGTACAATGACTTATTATTATTATTAACATCTTTATTGACAAAATTAATTACAATTTTGCCTAATCTGAGGATTTTTATAGTCTTAGTAAATTGAGGTTAATGCTAGTATTCACTGTCACGCAGGACAGAGGGTCATACATAAGACAATAGGTCTAAACTGTAGGCTGAAACACATATATATCATGGTTACAATCAATGACTGAGGTTAATAGCTCAGAGAGGAATCAACATTATAGGTAAGATTACAAGTGGCGAACTGTGAGATTAATTTAAAAGAATTTAAATCACATTACATACCCACAGATGGTTCGCTTTTTTACGGCTTTGAGCCACAAGGGAAAATTATTAGTAAAAATAATGTTACAAATGAAATGGAAAACATATGTATGATTATTTATATGAAAAACAGGAAGCCTTGCCAGACCTAATTGTGGAAGCATTTTGAGAAGATGATACCAACAGTACTAGACAATGGAATCCTGTATAATTATTGAACGTCAACGTCTTAATTAAAAAAAATTTGGCTGAGAATTATATGAAGTAAGCACAATAACTTGACTAAGAATTACAAACCCGATCTGCACATCTGAATTTAAAGTGAGGTCGTTTCGGTCCGCCCTGGACCATTATCAAGTCGTTTCGGTCCGCCCTGGACCATTATCAAGTCGTTTCGGTCCGCCCTGGACCATTATCAAGTCGTTTCGGTCCGCCCTGGACCATTATCAAGTCGTGTCGGTCCGCCCTGGACCATTATCAAGTCGTGTCGGTCCGCCCTGGACCATTATCAAGTCGTGTCGGTCCGCCCTGGACCATTATCAAGTCGTATCGGTCCGCCCTGGACCATTATCAAGTCGTGTCGGTCCGCCCTGGACCATTATCAAGTCGTATCGGTCCGCCCTGGACCATTATCAAGTCGTGTCGGTCCGCCCTGGACCATTATCAAGTCGTATCGGACCGTAAGTGTAGTACAAATAGCTTTTTTTATCATGGACTTGAAATAACCATCACCGGAAGTCAGACGATGTTCCAATTGTTTTTTAATTATAACAGATTCTCGTCGAAGCTTTTAGAGCCTTGAAGATACATGAACAAAGTCATGTAGGCATCCATAAGGCACGATGGCTGACATGACCATTATGCTGTCAGTCATGGATGTAGGATCTAGACTGGATGAGTTAGACCAAAAGATGTAGGATGTTGATATGATGTATGACGTAGAAATAATGATTTTGATATGATTCTAATGTAAGATATAGATGCGATATAGAAATAATCCTTTTCTAAGACTATAATATTGATATAGTGGAATTTTCTACAAGTTTGGGATGAACATTCTTTTTTACCCTGAGAGTAGGCACAATTGATCAAATTTAAGGGATAACTAAGACTTCTCGCTTTCACATCACATTCTTTCCCTATATTGATTCTACCACTCTTTTCACGACTTGATAATTGTCCAGGACGGACTGAATCGTCGTTACTTACCATGACATGTGTGCGCTCTAATTACATGAAGTTTGTGCTTAGGGGGGCGATGGTAGGGCGAGTGCGGGGGTGAAAATAGAGGTAGAAAAAGTAGGAGGAATAGAATTAAAGATTCTGCATCTAACCTAACCAAGCCGGATACCCCACCTTCGTGGTTTTGTCGAAGTAGTTGGTGGGTGCGCAGTAAAGTGGAATATTGGAGTGAATGAGCTGCTCAATGTTGTCGAAAGGCAGTTCGATGTGTGGTGTGATCAACATGGCCCTCAGATTGGAGCGATAGATGGTCCCAAGGATGAGGGAGACCAAGAGCCACATCCCCACTACCAATCTCACTGACCAGCTGCTGGTGTGTGGCCGCCCCGTGTCTGTGTGAAGGAAGATTGCGGCCAAGGTGTGAACATAATGTGGCCAATTGACCCAATCGAGACAATTCCAAACTATTTCTATAAACTCATCTTAACTTACACTGTAACAATCCAGCGTCCCCACATCTGGCAAGTGGGGTCGCCACCTTCGTAAGTTACTCGAGTCCTTGTTGAACCTAAATTAAGTTTGTATTAATTTTTTTGTTTATATATTTATCACATTGTTAATATTCCCCTTCGTTCCCTTCTGTCTTCAGTCATGCTCATTTTATTCGCAATTTTAGTGAATGAAAACTAAGCTTTTTCAGTCTCGTGATATTGGAAGTTTCTAATTCCTGGAATTTTCTCTATGCTATGTAGAAAATTTACGTCCATTTTGTAGTATAATATTCAGAAACTACATATTCTAAATGGTGCCTAATATTGAGGCGTTCATGCTGAAGAATAATATTAAAAGACTTAATTCTACCACTTCTTCAGTGTACAAGTATCGTAATATGAATATTTTGAGCATTTATACGTTGATTTATTGACTTTAAGATACGTAATTCAAATTGACGATTTCAGTATCATCCACATGCTATCATACAGCTCAATTAGTGTTTGCAATGCTTATAACCACACACAAACACACATCATCTAAAATTCTCTCTTATACTATCTCATTATCTCTCTCTTTCCATGCTGCCCGAAACGCTTTGCGTAATAGTGGCTTTAGGCATTGTATGTACTAGCTCCTATCTATAAAGCCAAGAAACTTTGTAAAATCTCTTTTTGTATGTACCTTTGCATAAATAAAAAATTATTATTATTATAATTATTATTATTATGCACCTTGGGAGAGTAGGACAGAGAGAGTTGTCAGCAGAGCTCTGTCAGCGGACCACTTCATTATACTGGTGGGTGGGGGTGTGGGCTGTGTGTGGGGGTGTCTGCTGCCCCTTGAGTGTGTCATCTCCACTAACCTGATCGAGGAGAGAGAAATGTCAGCACTGCAGAGCCTCGAAACACCATTACAACTGTATAAATGAGGTAAAGTGAGGAATAATACAACTTTTATGTCAATCAGTTAACCTCAAAACAGTTAAGTAAAATCATAGAAACAAAAACAAAAGGAGTGAGATTTAGAACGCTGTATCAAACGAAATATAATGTTACATAGGGAGAAGTATATTTAGCCCAAGATTCCATAATATAGAAAAAACTAAGGGAATAAACAGATTGCAATTGAACTTAGAACAGGAAAGTCTACAAGTAGCCCTGGTGATGGAATGGTCAAGGAATCAGCTACCCAAATGGTTTGTAGCACAGATTGTGGTGATTAACAAATCGCTACTTGGAACAAAGAGTTTTAAATAGCACGGACTATGGTGAGCCCGTAATCATCATTGCTATAATGTTGTTGGTGTTAAAGATTCGCTACTTGGAACAAGCAGTTCCAAGTAGCACGGGCTATGGTGAGCCCGTAGGTACTTATTTTCTATAATGCAAGGGATTGTAGATGATGAAGACCAATGAGGATGTAAATCTGTCCATACATATGTATACAAAACTATAAATCTTTGTATTCTTATACTAAATTTAAACTCTTGAGCGTTTACAAAATTACATTATATAAATACTTACATTCACAAAGTTACATTTACAGAATGACATTACAGAAATATTTGCATTTACAGGATTACAGATAACAAAAAGCCAGCCATACACAAATGTTCTGCTGTGACTACTCACCTCTCCTGAGTGGTCGTGAATTCCCCTCGTCCCCACAGAATAAGCCAAGTGGCCACGAAAATCAACACAGTGGTACAGAATGTCAGGATCCACATCTGTGCTGCAAAATATATTTTGCTGACACGTACAAGGTTCGCTAAATGAATGTGTTGCCGATTGAATTATGTAACCAAAATTAGTTTTAAACACGATACATTGTAGGGTCAACTACTGTAAAAAAAAGAACGAAGACTTAGAAAGGTTTGACTTCAATGAGTAAAGAAAACAGTAGATGGAGAAATCATGAAAAAATTATTAGTAAAAATTGGAATATATTGATAAAGAATGGGATTGAAGAATAATTGGGATAAGTAATGGTAATGTCTTCTCACAGACATAACAACATAGGATAAAAACCCACATTTGTGTATTTGTGAAATGTATGTAAGGAATTTACGCCAAGTCTTTCATACTTTCCTAAGTGCTTTGTCAAGGTCTGAGTGTGTGATTAGGACGAGACCTGCATCAAACATAGACGTTGTGATGTAAGTTTCGTCCTAATCACACACTCAGACCTTAAAGCTCCCTTCGTCCTAATCACACACTCAGACCTTAAAGCTCCCTTCGTCCTAATCACACACTCAGACCTTAAAGCTCCCTTCGTCCTAATCACACACTCAGACCTTAAAGCTCACAGGAGAGTGTAAAAATCTTGGTGTAAATTCCTTACATAAATTTCACAAATACAAAATTGTGGGTTTTTATCCTATAATTGAAATAATAGTATTTGATACCCCTCCCACCTCAACATTAGGGCTGAGTACCCCTCCCACGAAATCTCCAGGCCAGGCTGGGATGCCCACTCAGCCCGTTCTCTTGATTTACCACAACGTGCAAAACAAGGGGGAAACTAAAATACCTTAACCCAAGCCACCTACCTAACCTAACTAGCCTATGCTCAGAAAACGTGAATATTAGCGAGACGCTACTTTTCATAATACTCCCTATTTTGTATGCTAGGGACTATAGTGTACAAAAATAAGACTTATTAGTTGAGAGACGGGTTGCTCACCAAGGGAGAGAAGGGTCTGATGAAACCTGCAATCTCAGGGCCGAGGACTGGACGCTTATATAGGATCTTGAAGTCATCTATAAATACTGGCTCACTGAAATCCAAAATAGCGTAGCGATCCTGTGTAATGCTCATCACGCCTGCTATGTCGGCTTCCTGTAAGATAATCACAATGAACAATTTTATTGGTTTAGTGTTGGAGCTAGTCCTACAACCCGTTCTCGCAACTTTAATGTCAATATTCACTTATTAAATATGTGCATAGGTGACATACTTAACATAATAGATACCCTTAAAAAGATTCATAGAAAACACCGACCTTACCTAACCTACTTAGTATGTTAAGATAAGCATCTTATTGCTTCGTAATTACAATTATTACCTAACCTATAATAGGTACAGGTTAAGTAATAATTGTAATTACGAAGCAATAAGATGATACTAACAAGGTTAGGTAAGGTCGGTGTTTTCTATGAATCTTTTTAAGAGTATCTATTATGTTTAGTATATCACCTATGCACGTAGTTAATAAGTCAATATTGACTTTACGAATTTGCGAGAACGGGTTGAGTCCTATCAACCTCAGCAGGGTTACTGGGACCATCAAAATAGCCTTATGACCAACCATCAAGTACACTTTAGTCCCAGGAAGAGTCTAGGGCTATACTGGGGTTAACACTCAAATTCACAGAGTGTGGGAAGAATGAGGCATGGCTCCCTTGCTACATACTGGAGGCAATTGTGTATCACAATTACTATTGAAGATGAACTGGAAAGTCTTTCATCAGATGGTAAATAGAGAGAGAAAATTTTTTCAGTTAAGGTAAACGAAGGAAGAAAGGAAGGAAGGGGGGGGGGGGAGAGAGAGAGAGAGAGAGAGAGAGAGAGAGAGAGAGAGAGAGAGAGAGGGGGGGAGAGAGAGAGAGAGAGAGAGAGAGGGGGGAGAGAGAGAGAGAGAGAGAGGGAGAGAGGAGAGAGGGGAGAGGGAGGAGAGAGAGAGAGAGAGAGAGAGAGAGAGAGAGAGAGAGAGAGAGAGAGAGAGAGAGAGAGAGAGAGAGAGAGAGAGAGAGAGAGAGAAAACGAGAGAGAGAACGAGTGTGTCGACTCACCCCGCGAGCAACTGAGCCAATCACACCTGTTCCTGACCCGTTGCTGAAGCCTTCACCGAAGTAGTTTTGATCCGGTAGAACAAAATCGTAGCTGTAGGTTAGTGGCGGAGATGGATTAGTAGTGCAGGTGTGGTGGTGGTGCAGGTGTGTTGGTGGTGCAGGTGTGTTTGTTAGTACTGACTCTGTTTTACATTTAAATGAAAATAAGTATTATTAAGTTAACATTGTCATAAAAAAGTTAAATAAATTTTTATTGAAATTGGAATTTATAAATCATTAAACTTCACCACTTTACTGAAATTGGAATTCATAAATCATTAAAAAATTATATTGATATTTTTAAACAATTATTTTGTCGATAAATTTTGCAGTCCTATTTCCCCCCCCCCCCTTACAACCAATAATTATATCTCCTAAATAATTGTATATTTGGGGGAAACTACAATACATTTACTACCGTAATTGAGACTCAAATTACAGGTCAAACTGCGAGAAAGTATTGGTAATTAAATACTTATAAATAAACCAATATATTAATATATTAATATATTAATATTAATTATATATTAATAAACCAATATATTAATAAAAAATAAATATAATACCAATACTAATAAACCATTAGTATTGGTAATAGGAGTATCGACGCTGGTAGTTAAGAAAGGAGTGCCTCAGTGCGGGTCATACCAGATGTTGTGGTGCTGACCAATGAGAGAGAGGATCTGCCAGCCGATGCCCGATAGTTTGACGTGAGGTGGTTGTCCTCTGACGAGCATTGCAGTTGAGTACTACGGGGGGAGTACAGGAGGTAGTTAGTGCGAAGGAGATGTGAGGGAGGAAGTGAGAGGGATTGAGGAAGAGGAAGAATGAGGGAGGCGGTGGGGAAATGGGAGGAAGGAAAGGGCATGAAACTAAGGATTCAGGCAAATGGACCTTGTAAATGCTTGTTTACACACACACACACACACACACACACACACACACACACACACACACACACACACACACATACACACACACACACACAGAAACTAGGTGAGTACAACTAGGTGAGTACACAGAAACTAGGCGAGTACACACCCACTTACGTTTATTTCACCTGATGTTTCTGATCACCTAGCAGTGATCACCTAGATCTAGCCAGTCACCACCTAGCTATTTATCACCTAGTAGTACCAGAACGCTAGACAGCTGCTAGGGAGCCAGTGCTCCCTAGCAGCTGTCTGCTGCAAGGGAGCCAGTGCTCCCTAGCAGCTGTCTGCTGCAAGGGAGCCAGTGCTTCCTAGCAGCTGTCTGCTGCAATTGACATAAGTACTGCCATCACCACTCATATATAATACTTAATAATGCTTGACTCTTTGATGAGACAAAGTCAGGGACACTTAAGAAGAGTGGAGCATTGATAATTTCTGCACCTAATTATGAGTAATTGAGTCTGAAGTTGATAATTATTTTGATGTCTTTATAACTGTTTTTATAGTCACTTAGAGAATCACTAGAAATATTCAAGACAACTCTAGGTATATGCCAAAGAAAACTGACGTTCAAGAAAATATAACTGAAATGCAAAATTGTATTGAATAATAAAACACTTTATTAATCAAAATCAACGAAATCCTATTCTGAATAAAACTTCCTAACGATTAGAGGCAAAACTGTGAAATACTACAGTGACATGACTCAATCACAGAACCTTTCCTCTGCCATAAGTGCTTTGACCCAAGAGTTTGTTATCATGGTCTATGGGGTCGACACCCCCTCTACACACACCAAGATCCACCCCACACTAACACACTTGTCAGGTGGAAACTGAGTGCCCAAATGAGCCACAGAGATATTAGAAAGAACTTTTTTAGTGTCAGAGTGGTTGACAAATGGAATGCATTAGGAAGTGATGTGGTGGAGGCTGACTCCATACACAGTTTCAAGTGTAGATATGACAGAGCCCGATAGGCTCAGGAATCTGTACACCTGTTGATTGACGGTTGAGAGGCGGGACCAAAGAGCCAGAGCTCAACCCCCGCAAACACAACTAGGTGAGTACACTTACCACTACAGGATCTCCCAAAGTGATGCTCTGGCTCCACCCCCCAAAGAGACTATGCCTTCTGTTGGCTCGCCTCTAGGCCTACATCTGCGACCCCCCTCTTGACAAATGAGCAACTAGGCCTACTTTTAAAGATGCGTGACTGGCATTCAAGGGCCAACCGGGTTTGAGGCCAACTTGACAAGAGACAGGACGGGTCAACCCGCCCTCTTAAAATTACGTCGCTTTTCGCTCGTTTGCCCGTATGGCCAAAAATGGACGTAATTTGAAACGAAATCGACTCACGAAAGTGACGTACTTTTTTCTAATTTGAGTCCTCTGGCTTACTCGGTTAGGTTAGGAGAGGAAACTTTCAATTAACGGTTTTCATGACATTTTGAAACCTTAGGAGAACTCCCTGCCCTCTTAACCTTCCAGAGGACCCTTAACTTGCTGTTTTGGAAAAAAAATCCAAAATTTATTTTAAATTATTTTTAATTTTCAAATTACGTCTATTTTCGGCCATACGGGCAAATTCAGACGTAATTTATAAGAGGACAGGTTGGAGTGGTAGCAGTAGCACCAAGATAATAGTAAGTGATATTCGAATGAATGTTTTAGCTGCTGAAGAAAACAGACTTGAAAATTCCTTTGGATACCATCACATGCTGGCATCTCAAAGCATGACACTGTTGATATGCTTGCCAAGACCGCCTGCAGTAGTAGTAGTAGACATTTATATGGGTGTTTCATTAGCAGTGACAAAGAGAATACTTTAACAGATATCTAATACAAATCTTACTGACCTAACAAATTCACAAACACTTGAAAGTTCTAGCATTAAACATTATGATAATTATCGTGAGGAGACGTTCATATTTAGAACTTATATTGTATAATGTCCCATATTCACTGACTTTCGCCCTCCAGGGCTGACGTATGCTGAACTCTGTAAATAGTATATTAATACTGGAACACCTGATGATATATTGAACTTGTACCCAAGATTGACTATGTAGTTCATCAGTTATACAATGTTTCTGATGTAACTGTAACCTGAGCTTGTAAAAGCACCTTAATCACCTTCAGTGGTTAGATGCTTAATAATACACTAGTTTCTATGAACCCTGTCAAAGTAGGAGAGACGTGTATGTATGTGTATATATGTATTTGTTACACAAAGCAAATACTTTTTCCTCGCCAGATCACCCTGGCAAGATACTGTCTGACTAGGACGCATCTTTTTCGGTAATTTTCGCCACTCCTATACACTTTTGCTCCTTTTGTTGCCTCTTTTATTCAAAAAGTTCATACATTAAACCTGTTCTCGCTCCTTCACTCTCCAACAGAGCAAAAGTGAATACACACAGTCATATGTACGTACAGTCGAGTCTGTGAGCTTGACACATGTGGTGCTGGAGACGGCCATTGTAGCTGGTCGTCTGATGTGACTAAGTGTCCTGAGGACTCGTCGTTGACGCTGGAAGCTTGTCCTTCCTGCGGGGAGCGCGCCACGGCGGGCTCTGGCGAAGCGGGGCGCTGAAACCCGCTGTGGAAGCCCAGTTTCATCTATCCATCCAACCTACGTCATCACTTCGTGACCAATGAGAGAGCTACGATCGTCAAAGCTGGTGAGCCTTCGTCAACCCCGTTCTGGCCAATCAGAAGCCTTATCTACGTATCTTGACGACCTAGTCTGGCTTCCAATCAAAGCCGCGTAAACATATATACATCGATTAGCGTATTCCGATTCTCGGTGTATATACACAGAATTTCCTTTAGTCCTGGACAGTATTCAGCGCTAAATTATATCCTTGGTTTGTTAATGATGTCTTGTGGTAGCTTAATAAGCTTCCGGTTGAAGGGCCGTTAGCTAACAATTAGAAATTGTTAGCTAACAAATAGAAATTGTTAGCTATGGAAGCCTAATTTTGCATTTAACGTGGCCCTGTGTGGCCAGGTCTGGCCAGACCTGTTCTGACCAGGTGTTACTTGGCAGATTTAAGCCAGGCCTGACCTGCCGGATCTAGGCCTAGCCTAGGCCAGGCCTCTTCGCCATAGCTCTCTCCAATAAGCACAAAGCTTGCTCTAAGATCTTGTCCAATAGTACTTGGGTCATCCATATGTAATGCAAGCGATTTGTAGTTAAGACTTCCGCATATCATATTAAGACTTCTCAGCGTTCTGACAGGAAAGACTTCTTCCAGGAAGTCTTCCATGTTTCCAGACGAAAGATGATCTGCAAATAAATCTGTAGCGTCCAGGAGCCAGATTCAGGAAAGAATTTACGCAAGCACTTACGAACGTGTACATCTTTCCTCAATCTTTGACGGCTTTGGTTACATTTATTAAACAGTTTACAAGCATGAAAACTTCCCATTCAACTGTTGTTATTGTTATAAACAGCCTCCTGGTGCTTCGGAGCTCATTAGCTGTTTACTAATTGGAAACAAAGCCGCCAAAGATTGAGGAAAGATGTACAGGTTCGTAAGTGCTTGCGTAAGTTCTTTCGTGAATCTGGCCCCAGAAACTTTTCACTAGTGGATCATCAGCCTCAGTGAAATGAAAATCTTTCTGACCCCCCTTGACCTTTGTTAGGGTGAGTCTCACTCCTAGGTGTATTAGGTCCTCACTTTATGAGAATCTACTTCAAGCCTTACCTCATGAAACTGTTGAATACTTCATGTTTTCAACTCATCTATGCTAGCAAAGCCCTGCAAACACCTATGGTATATTTGCCATATTTTATATTTATTTTTGTCTACACACAATTTTTGTGTTTTATGTTTTGATTATTTCAAAGATGACATCTACTGGGTCTCCCACTGCTCTGTTTACGCATATTTCTGGCATCGTTTCTTAATAAATCAATCGCTGCTGTTCACCGATGAATTTCTGAAAAGACCACTGACTGTGGTCGTCCAAAAGGTTCTTATCTGTCGCATACTCTCTTATTTCTCTTTAATAATCATCATAGCTCTGATGCTCTTAACCTTTACGAAGTTGACTGCTCTTGCATCACTAATAATAATAATAATAATAATTTTTATTTAGGTAAAGGTACATACATAAAGAGATTTTACAAAGTTTGTTGGCTTTATAGATAGAGCTAGTACATACAATGCCTAAAGCCACTATTACGCAAAGCGTTTCGGGCAGAAACGTAAAGACTTACTAAAGCTGTAATCCCTCTGTAATTCGTCATTATATTTCATTGTAGAGTATCATCATACATCTTTGAGCCACTTATGTAGCCTAACTGTATTCCAATACAACACATTACAACAAACTTAACCTGATTAACAGCTCTTTCCCCAACTTTAGTACTAAAGTCTTCTTGTGTAAGTCTTGTGCGTTTGTCGTTTTGCGTCATGGCCAAGATAATCTTGTGCGTCATGGTGTATGTCAATCGTTTTGCGTCATGGGCCATAGATTACCTTGTGCGTCAAATCAACGTCTATTCCAGAATGTTGACCAGACCACACACTAGAAATTGAAGGGACGACGACGTTTCGGTCCGTCCTGGACCATACTCAAGTCGACCATACACAATCGACTTGAGTATGGTCCAGGACGGACCGAAACGTCGTCGTCCCTTCAATTTCTAGTGTGTGGTCTGGTCAACATACTTCAGCCACGTTATTGTGACTCATCGCCTGTCTTTTCCAGAAATCTAGACATTTACTGCTCAGGAAAATGATTTAACAGCATTTGATCAAACTTTCCCAAAGTATCATTTGTCAAACCGAATAAACTTTACAGGCACGAAAAAAAGTAATTTTTTCCCCTCCCTGAGGAATAAATCAAGAGTTTTTGAGTATCAACGATTTTCTGGTCCATGTAACAGCTTGTGACATGTATTATTCGTTACGACAGTTGTTTTAAAGTTAAATAACCGGTGTTACATTAAGGCACCTGTCTTTAATGTCATTTTAAGACACCTGTTATGTCATCTGTGTCTTACTGCAATGTAATTATGTCTTGTGGAGGCACTTGTTGTTACGCAATCTGCGTTGTGTTCCAGCACGTATATTGTCGAGATGTCTTCAGGATGTTATACTAAGACTCTCGTAGACGCTCCCAGGCATACAGCAGACGCAGGCATACAACAGACTCAGGCATACATCACAGACATACAACAGACGCAGGCATACAACAGACTCAGGCATACATCACAGACATACAACAGACACAGACATACAACAGACACAGGCATACAACAGCAATGTTGTTACATATCGTTCGAAACCTGTGTCGTACTCCAGGCCGTCCTCACCAGCTTTGGTCACCAAGATAAAACATCCCAAAACGATAACTAGTCCACCACGATACCCATCCCCCCACAATACCCAACTCACCACGATAACCATCCCAGCAAGATACCCATCCTACCACGATAACCATCCCAGCAAGATACCCATCCCAGCAAGATACCTATCCCACCACGATAACCATCCCAGCAAGATAACCATCCCACCATGATACCCATCCCACCACGATACCCATCCCACCGAGATACCTATCCCACCGAGATAACCATCCCACCGAGATAACCATCCCACCACGATAACCATCCCACCACGATAACCATCCCACCACGATAACCATCCCACCACGATAACCATCCCACCACGATAACCATCCCACCAAGATAACCATCCCACCAAGATAACCATGCCACCAAGATAACCATCCCACCACGATAACCATCCCACCAAGATAACCAACCCACCAAGATAACCAACCCACCGAGATAACCAACCCACCGAGATAACCAACCCACCGAGATAACCAGCCCACTAAGATAACCAATGGTCTCGACAACACCTCAACTTTTCAACTTAAAGTTAAAAAAAAACTGACTGGAAACCACGACAAAATTATTAAATCCAATTATCAAAATAAAAATAATTGCTAATCTGTTTGCAACGAAGTTCAATGAAGGGGGACAAATTACGTCGTATCTGGAATATGACAAAACAGTGCAGACGTAACGCGTCATAAATCAACGTAACGACCCATTTGGAAATCAGTGACGTGTGCAATGGTGCAATACGTTATATACGCCCCTTTGGCACCGGTGCCATATATTGCAAGCTGATCCGGGAATTATTTTTGTGTTTTTTTGTTTTTTGTTTTTTTAAAGATTGAAAAAAGGGGCAAAGTAGAAGGAAGAGACGATAAAAGGAAAGAGAGAGAGAAGAGGGAACTAGAAGAGGATTAAATGGAAAACATTTAAAAAGAATTAAATAAATGGGGGAATTAGTAAAGATGAGTAAGGAAGAAAACGTCAAGAATTATTTGATGGAAAGAAAATTGAAATTAAAATAAAGGAAGAAATGAGGTGAAGATTATATATAGATGAAGTCGAGAGCCATAAAAGAGACATGGCACCACGACCCACAAAAGTAAAAAATAAAAAAAGCTACTTTGCTACACCAGAATACAACACTCCCTGACTGGCAACACCCCCCCTGACTGGCCACACCCCTTCTGACTGGCAACACCCCCTGACTTGCAACACCCCCTGACTTGCAACACCCCCTGACTTGCAACACTCCCCTGACTTGCAACACCCCCCCTGACTGGCAACACCCCTTCTGACTGGCAACACCCCCTGACTTGCAACACCCCCCTGACTTGCAACACCCCCCCCTGACTGGCAACACCCCTTCTGACTGGCAACACCCCCTGACTTGCAACACCCCCCCTGACTGGCAACACCCCTTCTGACTGGCAACACCCCCTGACTGGCAACACCCCCTGACTGGCAACACCCCCCTGACTTGCAACACCCCTGACTTGCAACACCCCCTGACTTACAACACCCCCTGACTTACAACACCCCCCTGACTTACAACACCCCCCTGACTTACAACACCCCCCTGACTTACAACACCCCCTGACTTGCAACACCCCCTGACTTGCAACATTCCCCCCTGACTTACAACACCCCCCTGACTTACAACACCGCCCTGACTTACAACACCCCCCTGACTTACAACACCCCCTGACTTGCAACACCCCCTGACTTGCAACATTCCCCCCTGACTTACAACACCCCCCTGACTTACAACACCCCCTGACTTACAACACCCCCTGACTTGCAACACCCCCTGACTTACAACACCCCCTGACTTACAACACCCCCTGACTTGCAACACCCCCTGACTGGCAACACCCCCTGACTTGCAACACCCCCTGACTTGCAACACCCCCTGACTTGCAACACCCCTGACTTGCAACACCCCCTGACTTACAACACCCCCTGACTTACAACACCCCCTGACTTACAACACCCCCCGACTTACAACACCCCCTGACTTACAACACCCCCTGACTTGCAACACCCCCTGACTTGCAACACCCCCTGACTTGCAACACCCCTGACAGGCAAATACTCAGGGTTTGCAACAATAGCTGGCAATGCCACCGACTTCAATACCCCTGGATTACGATTCCCTTGGGTTTACAATATCGTAAACCACATATTAAACCGTGTAAACCTTGAGCCTAAACCGAATTGTGGGGATCTAATCAGCCACTACCTTCTGTGTAAACTGTTTCTA